TAAATATCTTCCTATACCACAATTGAAATAGAACACCATATCATATTGTGACAAGCTACACATGCCAACACACACTTAGATACACGGCCTCCTGACCATCTTTGGAGTAGGATTTTTTCTTTTCTGTGCATAAGGCTCATTGTATGGTATGATGAATACTAAATTGTTTGTGTTGTGGGCACTTGACATTGAGTGTTTGAATAGAGATATATATGCATATTCATACAGGTGGCTTTGCCAAAAAGGAGACAAATAATTAAGTCATGATTACGTAATGATGTTTTCTTGCAGGTGCTACTTAAAACCCCCAAAGAGGTATGACCAACAACATAAAAGCTAGTCTGACACTTTAAGTGTCAAGAAAATCTATGATGCTCATTCTCTTATATACTACACGTGCTTCCAAATCCTTGAATTGCGAGCTTGAGCTTTTTTCAAATGTAATTAATAGATTTAGAAAGTCATACGAGCACATGAGACATAACTATGAGTGTTGAACCAAAAAGATGAATCTCCAAAAGAAGCCCTAGATGCATCAAAAGCCAAAGCTCGAAGACCCACAGACCGAGTCTGTATTAATAACTGAGTTGTATAACGCAAACAATTCAGCTGCCAATTTCAAGATATTACATGTTTGTATAACTAAAACTTTATACTTTATTTATTTGTGGTTGATTTCTATATGCATGTGATTGATCGTTTATTTCATATGTGCACAAGAAATATCTATTCTTTCTTAGGTTTCTTCACTTGTTTTGTGTGAGTGGCTTGGACATATTTTATATGGTAGACTCTCGAGACAAAATTAAATTTTTACCAATTAAAATTTAAATAATAAAAAAATCAATCATAAGATAATATTTATTTTCTAGCAAAATTGCACGCCTTATCTAAAATAAGATAAGTTTAAAAAAAAAATAAAAATGATCATATCATGGCCAAATGAGTTGCATGTAGAAGCTCTTATATTAAGTATTAAACAATAAAAAAATGCATTGTGAGTAAACATATGCATACCTAGATAGCTAGATATCATGGCTTAAGTGGTCAAGCTATAAGTCATAGTCTTTAAATCAAAACAACCTTACTTCTCTTGCATAAACATTGAGATCAGACTTAATGGTTTTACAAATGCTTAGGTAGGTTAGCTAGGAATCCATTCCAGGTAGGATTGTAATTCCAAAGTCAGGCTGACTTAACTCTGTGTGGGGTTTCAACTTTCAAGTTTATAAGTCATTTGCATTTTGCTAGTTGTAGGTCGAAGTTACCACCTATCGGTAGTTCTCACAATAAATCTAGGATATGAGACTAATGTTCTTTTCAGTTATATTATAACCCCTCACATTTTTGGATATTTCTTCCAACTTATGTTATAGGAATGCAAGCCCAAACCTTCTAAATTAAATTGAACAATTTTAACCTAAATTTTATTTTAAAATAAATTTAATTTAAAAATATAAAGCTCAATTTAAGATAGTTTGAGTATGTTTAAGTTTCTTATAATCAAATACTCTTATCTCTTTCTTTTTTGGCTTTCATTCCTAAATTAATTTCATGTTGATCCAATCCCCTTTGAAATCCCCAAAGACTAAATTTTTTATAAGAATTTCTAAGAATAAATCAAGTAAAATGTTAGCCAATATTTTGATAAAAAAATGCAAACTACTATTTTAAATTTTTAATCAAAAGTTTTCCTAAGGAACAAATGCCTATGATGTAATTAATCATAGAGGCTTGCCCTTATAAGGAACTTGTATCCCAGAATAAAATAAATCATACTCAATCAAATATATTAACGAAAAATTTCTGATAAAAAAATGTGAATTTTATTATTGAGTCCATAGCCAAATAATATTTTTACCCTCCGAGATAATATATTATTTTTTATGTTATTCTCGATCACAAAATATTATAATCCATTGAGGATATCAAAATTCTCCAATAGGGGCCACCCATTGCTCCTCTCAAAATATTTTTGCATCGAGCATCAACATGTTGGGTCTAATTATAATATAGTGCTTCCGTTTCTACATAGTTCATCAAATAGTGTTCTAGTTTCCTAGAGTTCTTGTAGAATCAACAAACATATGCTTCTCAAGTTTATTTGTGGCGAATGATGGCACTCAAGAAGACAAATATTTCAACATAAAACATGACAGTCTATCTTTATTTTTTTTTTCGATAACCTAAAATTTGAGACATAAATCTCCTAAGAATTATTATCAATAATTTGTCTATTAAAATTTTGAATTATTACCACTTTTGTACTTACGGCATCAAAATCTACAAAATGATATATTTGATTACCTAATTAGATATATTACAGATAGTGTTCGGTGTTGAATACATCATCATCATCCACCACCGACGAGCTAGCCCAAAAGTAGGATGAAATTTAGCGCCTTGAGCATTGCCCATTCATATCACTTGAAAAATGCTTAGTGCTTATGAATATAGTGACACATTTGTTTCATCTACTCTTAATGCACCTTCTTTCAGAAGAGGATATTCAACAAAGGTGGATGAGATATTTTGCTAAGCTTTTCAATAAAGATTGTGAAAAAATAATTGACTTTAGTGACCTTAACATTCTAAATGAAAATAGAGATATTTGCTTTTATCGACGTATTACTAAACTTGAATATAGAGAGGCTTTAAAGAAAATGAAGTGTGGGAAAACTGTTGGACCGAATGATATTCCAATGGAAGTGTGGAAATGCTTTCAAATATTCCAAAGGAATTTCTTGACTTACTAAACTTTTGAATATTATTTTAAAAACTAAATAGATTTCATATGTGTGGAGAATGAGTGTTTTAATTTCTATCTTTAAGAATAAAGATGATGCACAAGATTATGCAAATTATAGGGGAATTAAGTTGATGTGTCATACTTTAAAACTATGGGAGAGAATTATGGAGCATAGGTTATGTCGTGATACTAATGTTTCCCAAAATCAATTTGGATTCATGCCGGGTAGGTCTACTATGGAAGCCATACATTTATTGAGAGGCTTGATGGAGAAGTATAAAGAGAAAAAGGAAGATCTTTATATGATATTTATTAATTTAGAAAAATATATGATAAAGTTCGAAGAGAAGTGCGATGGAGAGTTCTAAAAAAAAAGGATTAATAATGCTTATATTCAAGTCATTAGGGATATGTATGTTGGAGCTATTACTTGTGATCAAACACAAGGTGGTTTAACCAAATATTTTCCAATTTCAGTTGGATTACATCAAGGATCAGCCTTAAGCCCATATCTTTTTTTTAGTCATGGATGTTCTTACTAGAGATTTGCAAGAGGATGTTCCCAGGTGTGTGCTTTTTTCTTACGATATTCTTCTTGTTGATAATACTAAAAAGGGAGTTGAATGTAAACTTGGATTATGGAGTTCAACCTTAGAGGAGGCTAGTTGTTTTAATTTTAGTAGATCTAAAATCGAATACATGGAGTGTAATTTTAGTAGTAATAGATCTAGTGGGGTGTTTGTGACTTTGAGCGATCAAGTCATTAATAAAAGTACACATTTTAGATATATTGGGTCTATTGTTCAGAGTGATGGTGAAATAGATGGGGATATTATTAGTAGAATTCAAGTTGGATGGATGAAGTGAAGAAATGCATCGGGTATATCATGTGATAGAAAAGTACCACTCGAACTTAAGGGAAATTCTATAAGATGGTGGTTAGACCTACAATGATTTATGGCGCAAAATGTTGGCAATTAAAAGAGAAGCATAATATTAAGTTAAGTGTTGCAGAGATGAGGATGCTTAGATGGATGAGTGGCTTTACTCTTAGAGACAGGATATGAAATGAGCATATACGTGAAAATGTTTGAGTAGCTCCAGTGGCAAATAAGATTAGAGAGAGTCGCCTGAGATGGTTTGGTCACATAAAACGGCGGTCTTCTGATGACCCAGTTAGGAGAGTAGATGTATTAGATTTAACCTATGTTAAGAAACGTAGATGTAGACCTAAAAAGACTTATTTAGAAATATTAGAAATGACATTTCTTTATTAGATCTAAATGAGAATTTGAATCTTAACCGGACATAATGGAGAAAAATGATTCATATATTTGACCTCACGTAGTGGGATAAAGATTTGATGTTATTATTGTTGTTCGGATGTTTTAGGGCTCATCTCTCAAATCAAAGCATGAAGCTCACCTTACTACCTAATGGCTTAGGACAAGATGCTCCCCCAATAAAACCTTGTTAATAGCACCTATATGAGAGTCTCTAAGAGGTGTATTTTGTGATATGAACTCATCGTGCCTTTCCTATAAACCTAGATGAGCTAGTGGTAGCCTTCAACGACATTGAAATTAGCCTCATTTTGGGCAAGCCTCTGAGATGTCCCCTAACCTAGCATCTCACAATTCAAAGGAAGTTCCTATGCCATTGGTTAGTTAAGATGACTATAGGATGCATCTCCATGGGAATGAGAGACTTTGGTGTATTCCCACATAATTTTTCAGGTCGTGTGCTTCAGGTAGGATGGTGATTGAGAGAGAAAAGAGGTGATCAAGCAATAGCATTTCAAAGGAAGTTGACTGGAAGATGTTTTCCATTAAATGATGAGGTAAAGTTTATACAATTTAATCCAGATACTCATATTAGGTATAATTAAAGCCCCAAAAAATACCAATATGAACCAAAGTAGAAGTAAGAGCGTACATCAGGTTGTTGCATGGAAATGTTGTGTGCAAAGAAAAAAATTATCTTGAATAAACTTACGTCAAGCATCATTTCAAAAGTGCATATTCAGATGTTGCCCACATGGTAACATAGTAAACTTTAAACACATAACACCAATAACTAATTGAAATCAAATAATACAAAGTAAGAGATGACCAAACTATAAACAATGCTACTAAACCTACTACGCTAGCAATCATTATGAATCAAGTTTATTTACAAAAACTTTACGGAAGCTTATGTTTCAAAAAATAACAGAGAGAATATTGAATTGGAGGCATCCAAGAATGCTTACATGACCACAAGTTAGCTTACAGGCAAGAGCATGGCTTGTTTCATGAAGAAACACTGTGATAAGCTTGAAAGGAGTTAGCAGCACTGTCCTCCACAGCTACAAATTCATCCAAGAATGAAAGAGACTCATAATCAAGATAACAGAAGAAACTCCAGCAACTAATTTAAGTAAAGCATTCGGTCTTGTTCCAAGAAAATTCTATGTATAGAAACCTACTACCGTCAACCGCACTCAAGATCTCACATTTTAAAACAGTAAAACCCCTTCAATTGGGATATTAAGTCAATCAGACAATCGAAGCGATCATCTTTCCCTGAACTAGGACTCTACAACCCAAATGATGTGAACTGTAGGGAAAAGAGCAGGACCCGAAAAATAGAGCAAAATTGTTCGGAGAAGTGCTTACAGAGAGGATTACAACGATGGACACACCAATGGTTGCAATGAAGACGACTTGTTCGTGCTTGCAGCAGTTCTTCAACTCCCAATTCGTCATTCCACCCTTCCTCTTCTCTCCAGCCCACACGATCCTAAAAAGCAAAGAGTATATACTTCAATCGGGATCAAAGAGATAACTGGAGGAAGAGGAGAGGAGAGGGTGAAACCGAAATCCGCTACCAGCTGACTGGCGGATCGCGTTGAGCGGTAGTCGAAGACAGGAAGACCAACTGAAATAAAGAAATTTTAAGACGGCGAGCTTAGACTTTCGACCTAATTTATTAAGGGAGATTCTGTCATGCGGAAGCGACGCATAATATTCCTATGCGAGATCACGATCGAGCCGTTGACATAACATAACGGGCGAATCGCTCCGAAAGATCGGTTCCAGTTTGTGAAATGAGACTCTGAGCGGGGTTGTCGGGTCGTGCAAAAAAATTCAGTTTTCATTTGATTTGATTTAAAGATTCGAACTACGTGCTGGCGGTTAGGGTTTTCCTCCCCGTCTTCCTGCTGATTTTCCCTTCATTTTTTTCCTCCGGCGATGTCGGAGGATATTTCTTCTTCCTCTTTCATGGACGCAGCCCTATTATCATATGATTTTCCTCCGCTTGCCCAGTCTTCTGGTGCTTTGGTCAGTTCGCTCACGAAGAGTTAGAATAAAGTTTTTGCTATGGAAAACTCTACTCCAAAATCCCTAAAGTTCTCATATTTGCCTTCAGAACCTGATATTATCCCTTTCTCTGTGGATAAGCTTTCCAATGGAGGCGAAGACAGGAAGCTATGTCTTGTTGGGTACTCCATAGGGAGACGACCTTATTACGAGGCGTTGCTGGGAGCCATCAAAAAGACGTGGAGTTTAAAATGTTCGGTTCAGCTCTTGTCCCTAAATGATGGATTTTTTCTTCTCCGATTTTCTTGCGCAGAGGACTTCGACATGATTTGGTCGAGAGGGATATGGTTCTTGTTGGGAAAATCTTTTGTGCAAATAAAGCTGCTTCTTCATCTTCTACTAATATACATTCTCAATCTCCTTCTTTAGAGAAGGATTTTACTTTCCCTAATAAGTTTGATGCTTTAAATTGTGAGGAAGAAGTTGGAGTCCAGACTGATGTTTTAGCAGGTTCTAAAGGTGCTAGTCATGTGTTAGATGGTTCTGAAGGGAAGGAGAATAAACAAAAAATTGCTGAAAAGGTTAAACTGCAACCGCCTAGTGTTGCTTCCAAAAAAATTGCAAGGGGGAAGCATGCCAAAAAACCTAAGCCTAATCAGTGTTTCTTAATGTTTTTTCCACCCATTACGGCTTGGAATATTAGGGGATTCAATCGCCCAGATAAAATTTTGTGTTGTAAGCGTCTTATAAAGTCTTTTAAGTTAGACATGGTCTGCATTTTGGAGAACAGGGTTCATGCTCAGTCTTTACTTGAATCGTTTTTTGAATCCTCTCATTTCCTCTTTGTGAATGAGGCTAGTTGTCACAATTTTGAACTTTCCTCTTCAGGGAGGATCTGGGTGAAGTGGAATGCTTCTAAATTGAATTTTACCCTTACTCTTATCACCTCTCAGATTATATCTGGGACTATTTTGGTTGCTAATCACCCCCTCTATTAGCTCTCTGTTATTTATGCTTCTAATAGCAGTTATGATTGCAAGGAGCTGTGGAATTCTATTGCTCAAGCTGCACCTGTGAGTCATTTTCCTTGGGCTCTCATAGAAGATTTCAATTGTTGTAGGTATGCTTCAGAAAAGTTAGGGGGATCCAACATTACTCAATCTACTCTGATTGAATTTAATGATATGATTTTCCACAAAGGTCTTGTGAACTTACACTCTGTTGGATGCAAATAGACTTCGTACAACCAACGTTTGGATAACCCTATTCACATTAAACTGGATAGAGTTCTTGTGAATGAGGGTTGAATGAGTGATTTCACTGAATCTTATTGCTCTTTTCAAAGTCCTTGTTCTGATCACAGTCCAATAATTCTATATTCTGGGAATTCTATTCAGGTGCATCACATTTTTTTTTTAAAATTACTAGACTAAAATAGATAACTACTTGGCACTTCTTTTAGAGGTCTTCATTATGCCTAGTAATGGGAATCCTCTTTCTCACCTATGCAATTCCCTAAGGCAGTTAAAATGTAGCATCAAAAAAGAACTTTGGGCATCATCTAGTCGTATAACTAGGCATCTTGATTATTTACACAATAATCAAAGGATTTTGCTGGATAAGTTGCATGAAGATCCTAGTAATTTTGATCTAAACCTTTCTTTCAAGTCATGCAATGCTGCTTTAGCTAATTTCACAAACATACAAGCCTCCTGGATTATATAAAGGGCTAAGGTTAATTGGCTTAAATATAGGGAAGAATATCTCAAATTCCTTTTTGCTAAAATTAGAAGTAGAATGGGTAATACCAAGTTGGTAGTTAACTTACTTACTTGCAATCCCCTTTCTACTAGATCTGATGTGATTTCTTCTATTATTCAATATTTTTCAAGACCTTTATAATCCCACTCCTCCTTCCAACTTGGATTTGGAGATTTTTCCTATTGGAATTGCCTTACCTGATTGTTATGTCAATTCTATTGCCTCCTATGTGCTGGATGAAGATATTAAGTCTACTATTTTTATGGGATCTTCTAATTCCACTCCAGGACCAGATGGTTTTAATTTTCATTTTTACAAAACTGGATGGCACATTATTGGCCCTGTTGTTTGTAGAGCTATCAGATCTTTCTTTCTTAAATGTTACTTGCCAAATGGGGTTAAAGCAACTTCTCTTGCTATTATTCCCAAGCACAAAAATGTTGTCACTATATCTGATTATAGACCTATTGCTCTTTGCAATGTTTTGTATAAAATCATTGCAAAGGTGATTGCTGCTAGGCTAAAATCGGTTATGAGCATGATTGTTAAGGATAACCAAGATGGGTTTGTTCAATCAAGAGTTTGTACTGATAATATATTGCTTGCTAGAGATTCTTTCTTGTGTTGGTAAAAGAGGAGGTGCCAAAATTTTATGTGCTAAATTAGATATCAGGAAGGCTTTTGACTCTGTTTCTCGAGAATTCTTGCTTGCTAGGCTTATCTAGAAAGGTTTTCCTAGCCTTTTTGTTAACTAGATCAAAGCTTGTATTACTGATGTTAATTTCTCAATTGCTCTTAACGGTGCTCTTGAGGGTTATTTCTCTACTACGGCTGGGCTAAGGCAGGGTTTTCCTCTAAGACCTTATCTCTTCTGTCTGGTTATGGATGCTTTTTCTAATCTTCTTGAGGGTAGAGGTTTTAAAGGTATTTCTTCTGACAACTATACTCTCACTCATTTGCTTTATGCAAATGATGTGCTCATTTTTGGGGAGGCCACCTTAGAGAACTATCACAAGTTGGTTTCCATTTTAAGGGATTTTGCTAATGCCACGAGGCTTCATATTAATTATAATAAAAGTGTTATTATGTTTCCAAAGCATCAGAGTAATCAACTTGAAATTTATCAAGCTCTCTCTATTCATAACATTACTACCAAAATCAAATATTTGGCCCCTCTATCTTTCTACAAGATCAAAATTGAAGACTACATGCCTCTTATGGACAGTCTCAATAAGAAGTTGAATGGGTGGAAGGCCAACTTGCTGTCTTTACAGGTAGATTACAATACCTAAAATTCACTATACAAAATACCATTGCATATTGGATCTGTGGCTCCATTTTGCCAAAATCAGTGCATAATTTTTTTTAAAAAAAAACCAGCTTTAGGTTTTTATTTTTTGGGGAAATTAACTCCTCTTAGAAGCTGCATATGGTTTCCTGGGATAAAATTTGCTTGCCTAAATCCAAAGGCGGGTTGGGCATTCCTTCTATTTGTGCTTTGCAATTTTCTTTTAACTGCTCTGTTATTATCAGGATGTATAACTGTCCCTCCCCATTATCTGCATGGCTTTTAAATAAGTATAGTTCCCCTTGGAGGCCTCCTCAGGCATCAGCCTCTAAATTTTGGAAATCCATTTGTAATACTGTGCACTGCTGGCTAAATCCTATTTTCAGTTTAAAACCACACAAAATGCCCATATTTCTATGAAATGGTATCACTGGTATAACAATGGCACCTTACTAGATTACCTTGGGGGAGCATCTCTTGAGTCACTACCTGAATTGGCTCTGAATGATGTTATTTCTTGATCAAACTGGGTGTTGCCCGAGAACTTTCCTTATCAACTGCAAGGTGTTTTTGCGGGTATCACTGATATTGAATGTGCTGGTCCTTATTTGCTTTGGAAAAATAGAAATAACTACAATTTTAAAAACTTTATTCAAGTATGTAGTTCTTAATCAAACCATATTTAAATATGTTTTGATTAATATTCAAACAATGTTCCTTCCCTATTTGAATTGCAACTTAACTCATACAAATAATGCTAAAATTCTATTTGAGTTATATTTGGAACTTATTAAAAAAATAATCCGAACAAGTTTGAATAAGCTATTACAGCATACTGTAATATGCCAAATTATAATCATAATAATTAAAACATATTAAAGTATAACTGTAATATCTACTACTACAATGTTCAATTCATTCACAATAACCTGAATTGGACCTCATAAAAGTTATGAGCATATTGATGGGGGTGGTGGAGTAACCTGAAGAATTACAAAAATGATTTATGGCTCTATCAATCCGTACACAATGCTCAAGTTTTCTTTTATATAAAAAATATAAAAACCCCACTTAATATACACAAGTATACGTGTCGAATCAAATAATTTATTTATAGAGTAGAGTATTAGTCCTACGAGAAGAATATTTACTTGTAAATATTAGTACTATCCACTTCAATTGCAGAAATTATCATACTCAATTAAAATAAGTTTCAGTAGAGATTCAATCACTTAATTTAAAATAAAAAATAATTAATTGAACACTATTTGGATAAATAGTTTTGGATTAATGGAATATAAATACAATGTGTTTTCAAAGGATTTTCTTTAATATTAATGTTATTCAAAGCATATGCATCACCGACCGCTCAGTCAAGCATGAAGAAATAAATGACAGATTAAATTATTTCAACCTCAATACCACTTTAAATTACTACAATTTATTACCTTATGAATGTTGAATCTTGATTAAGTTGTTAAACCTAAACTCATATCACAAGGCTAACCAAGAGGGAGGATGAATTGGTAATTTAAAATTATCTTGGATTTTTAGATTTGAAAACTGTTGATTCTCATAGCAAGTTAATTAAAGTTTCAAAATAACTTTTCAACCACATAAAGATAACTTGCAGTAAATAAATGCAAAAATTTAAAATACACAAAGATTTATAGTGGTTTGATCAAACACGACCTACATTCACTCCTTGAAGACTCCCTCTTCAAGTATTACACTATTACCAAAGTGCTCCTTTTGCCCCCACAACAAGGCAGAGAAGCCTTTACAAAATATCTCTTCCACCAATCCTTGGTGCGGTAGAGAACCGTCATCCATTCACACCCTTCAAATGACGGCAGAGAACCATTGTTCTTTCACACCCTGCAAGTATCGGCAAAGAACTGTCGTCCTTTCACATCCTCCAAGTATCGGTAGAGTACCATCGTATATTTACACTCTCCAAGTGTCAGCAGAGTATCAGATAATCTCCAAAGATATTCTCATGAACAACTAGAAAG